CAATGTATATTTTGTATGCACGCTAAATTTGTTGTAGATCATTATTTATAAAATTTCTTTTCGGCTAAAATAGTTTATAGAAAAAATGCAATAATAAGCAGTCTTCCGCTTTACATCGTTTTTCGTTATCTCAAAACAATGTATATTTTATAGGCAGTCTCATCTTTTTAAATTTTTTCTTCTTAAACTGTTACGTTAGAAGAAATGTACAAAGGTACTTTTTTGTTAGAGAAAATTGAATATTTCTTGCTTTACTTCATAAATATTAATAAAAATAATTAACTGTAAAAGCTATTGCAACGAGACAAAAATAGGATCTTTATAAGGTTTGGTTTTTTGAATGAGACAATTTTGTAATTATGTCTTTGAAAGATCGACTTCTTCCATCGTAGAAATAAGATTGTCGAGACCAAGTAAGAATCCTTCTTCATGATTGCTTTCTTCCCATAGCTTTCTGTGTGTTACTCTTTGTCCATTTGGTAACTCGCGTGTTTTGGCAAAGTCGATTAACCAAACGCCAACTTTGTCATCATCGTAGATCATGAAGATACTACTACCAATGATCTAGAAACCAAATTATTATACATGAAGATACATTTATTGAATCATATTTGCTTTTTTTTTATACATGATTTTCATGCTAGAGCAAATAATTTAAACGGCTTTAATAAATAGGCAGAAGACCTATATTTAATGACCAAAATATTAGGAAATATTCAAAACTGTTATATAAAAATTAAAAGGATTTAACACGTTCGCTGCCGCCGTCAAAGCATTGTCAACAAAGAATGACTTGCTCCGTGTGTTAGCGTCGAAACTGTGTCGACAGTGTGTCCATCGGTCACCATCGCGACATCAACGGTCGATGCAGCCTCTTGTGTAATCGGCGGCACATGATACGTCCCTCACGATTTTCTGGTAGCAACGAACGTGTTAATGCTCCTATAATGAATGTTTTATTCTATTTAATTATTAAGCGGTCAAGTGCATAAAATTAAATGAATATTTGAGAGCACTCAAATTAACAGTACCAAATATACATTTTTTTTTTTTTTTTTTTTTTGGTTTATCAACAAACCTCATGAGTTTTGAAGTATTCAGAGGCTTCGATTTTCGAGCGAAGATTTCTCAGGCGTGTGAGCAGTTTCTCGCGAGTAGGCTTACGTGTTCCAAGAAACGTCTTGATGGTATCGAGCACCTCCTGATGCGATTTGACTTTCTTCAAGTCGGTGATCGGCGGTGCACCCGGTAATTTCATAGCCTCGATTCGAAATCCGTGGCTACAAGTTGAGCTCTGCTGTTCACGGAATTGCATATATCGCAATTTAGTCACAGCGCGCTGCTCATGTTCCTGCTTGGTCGGCGCGTTCGGATCCACCGCAATCATCTTTTGATAGAGATCTGATCTCGCGGTCGTCTTCGACACTTCGGATTCGAGGAATGTCCTTGTGCCCATTTTGATGTCCATTACGTGGGGATCGTTGAAACCGAACAGTAAATTCTGCAGTTCGATGAATGTCTCACCTTTATATTCCACTTCCCGATAATATCTAGGATTAACAAAATAAAATGCTTTTAAATCGAAGAAATCAATAGAATGTAGAAGGCAGTATAGTTTTCACAGTACGATGGATTTTTTTATTAGTTTGTATTACTTTTCAAAAAATTATTAAAAATCTATCATGAAAGTACAGAAAAAAACAAGTTCAGCGTGTCTTTGAAATGACTTTGAGACCACCCAAAGTCGCAACAACGAAAAAGTTTTAAAATAGGCGAGAATTAACGTCTTTATTAATTTTTTTAGAGTACAACATTAGAAATTTTGAACACAGGATAATAAGATAATATCAAAAATATGAGTTGTTCTTATTTGAATAAATTGTTTAAGCAATCAATTTTTTATTTACCTCGGTATGCAATCTCGCAATTCTTTGTCTTTACTAAGAGCTTCGTAAACAATTCTTTCTGTATTTTCTATTCCTCCTGTCTTTCGTTTCCAAACTGTTCCAGGTCCAGCAGGTGCAAACCCATCCGGATGTCCGGATAATTGAAACCAAGACTTCAATCTGTTCTTCAATAAAACGTCACTGGCCGGTGCTGTTAAATCTAAGGCGTTCTGTGAAAACAAATTAAAAAAAAAAAAAAACAAGAAATATAGCTAGTTTATCTTTTCCATTTTATATACAATTGATATTTGAGAGTAATTGCAATTAAAGCTAATTAATACAAAAGATAGAAAATACAGGTAATGAAGTTAGACATTAAATGTATAAACTAGAATTATAAAAATGTTAGTTTAAATTGTCTTTCTTTTTTCTTGAAATTTACTGCTATTACAGTAACAATACTAAGAAATTCCAGTTAAAAATAAATTATTGTAAATAATAATTCATATTTGAAAGATTTAGTCAATGATAGACTGTAGTAAATACTATCATCAGGCTCCATTGAATTATTAATGGTTTACTATTAGCTTTCTATAAAATTTTCTGTATCTTAAAAATATTGATTATTGATATTACACTTTTATTTATAGTATTCAAGAAGAAACATAAAAAGAAAATTGTATCCAAGACAATATATTTCTTCAATAAATACTAATGCACATCAAATCGGTATTATGTACGGTTAGAACAGCTTTTAATAATAATGAAATAACTAAAAACAGAAATTGTACAATTTGATATCATGTTCATTCAATATAGAAATTATACGATTCTTATAAAATGATATTGCAATTACAAGGATTTCCCAAGGATGACTTTCTGCACGCGTATATTTCCAATAGTATCGTTTCGTTAAATATTTTACTTCTAATAATAGATTTTTATTGAAAATTCATTTATTCGGTATATTTATAAGTCTAAACGTTACTACTAAATATTAATAATATTTTGCTTTAATGACGCTTGAATATTTACTCGAATTAAGTGAAAGATTATTAACTTTATAAATATAGACTGCAACAGTATTATCAATTGCATTTAACATTCTTTGGAAAAAATTACTTAATTTCCTGTTCAGGCCGTTTGATATTTGAATTTTTCTGATTTTACTGTCTAAATAGATTTGTCACAAAGCAAAAATTTTATTTTGTTGTGTAGGACTTTTTGAACATTACACAGGTTTCTTAATAATAGTGAACTGTGTTGTGTGAATAGTTTCGATACGTGCCATGAACAGGAAGTCTTTAAAAAGTCAGTATGACAAGAAAATGTTAATACTTAATATCAGTAAAAAAGATATTCAAATGTTAACAGATAATATTATTAATTATTATCAGTCATTGAGATGTAATGATTTATTTGTTCCTTTTATTTACCATAAATTTATTTATCCCAAATATTATACTCTCCTTTAACAATTACAGCTAAAAATATAATTTTTCAACTAGAAAAAAGTATAAACATTAATGATAAGAATGTGTGCTCTTGCTAATATTTCGTATAGATATCTAAAATTTTCGCGTGGACAAGGCGTTCATATACCTGTACAATCGTTTTTATTATCAATTGCTTTTCTCCCTATACTTTTTCATTATTTTTTATTTTGCAATCTATTATGAAATTGTAATGCTGCATCGAAGTGACCTTAAATGCGTACCAATATTAATAAATAAATTCTTAGCGTGACTAATAATTAAATGACAGTATTTACATTCAAATTACATCCAAAATGCACAAAAAATGATACACTTTACTTTACCAAGGAAATTATCAGATATGCTGTCATTTTGTTGAATTCTAAACACCGATTACCAAAGATAACGTATCTTTGTTAATCATTTGAAAACTATTCTATTCAAAGGTAAATGAACTATTTACATATGCATGTATCGAAAGCTGCCGATATGACTTCATCTCTCTGTTATCTTTTGTTTATGTTTACAATTCGATTTAGGGAGCACTAATAGAGGCAACGTGATTAATACCAGTGCTAGAAATTTTAAAGAGAGATCTTCTTCTGGCATAGTGGTATCGGAGAGAACCAGAGGAAATTGTTCCATCTTTTGTATCGTCGCTGCATCATTAGGCAGCTCGGCGAGGGCTCCAGTTGAGCTAGAGCTGACACTATTGAACCGATTCGAGCCCATTGATGTGCTCCTTCGCCACTGACGGAACGCGCCGTACGTGCTGCTCGAGGAGGCATCCTTTTTCCCTCGATTTTCCTTGTGGTTCGAATTATGGCTGAGACGTGTTTGCTCTTTGCTTGTAGGCTGTAATCAGAGACATCTACTAAGAATTTAAACCAGTCGATATCGTCGTGCTATGATGTTGAATAGCAATTACTAGATCAAAATACTTGGGAAAATCGGTTGCTAGAATTTTCTTCGGTATCATTTTTCCACAGTACCGATCGTTTTGATTAAACTGTGTCCTTACTACTATTGGCTATTAATAAGTTCAACAAAGAGGGGTCACGAATATCAAGCTCTGGTCATGTAATGTCCCGGAAGAATGATTCATCCGTAATATTGTCTAGAGTGCCGCTGATTACTGTGTGGATTGTGCTAAAGTGAAAACTTTAACCCTTCCGCTACGGCAGCGTTGGCCGCGCGTACGCTGTACACTTTAGCGACAGAGTGTCACGTTATTTCTTTTTTTTTTTTTTTTCGTCATTTTCACAGTTCTTGACACTTAGCCAACCGAATGGGGAGATCTCCCCGCTGCGAAGTAAGTCGCTGCATGACCGACCGGGGAGATCCTCCACTTTTCTCTTAGCAACGCGTTGTCTTTTATCATGTTTACTTTTTCTTTTATTAAAAGTCTGCCTTGAACTGGAGTTGTTCGCTATTCACAAAATACCTTTTCTGCTTTCGTAAAATACAAACAGCGTGCGGTCAGGTGTGGCGCGCGCGGTTGGCTAAGTGTTAAGACAATACAACAAAACAATTCGATAAAAGTAAATCGGTTACTCTGGAGATATCAAGCTACGTTATTAGCGCCCTACGCGTCCTACGCCGGTAGGATATATCGAGCGCTCGGCGATAGGTGACTGTAATCACCGTTAGTACACATCGAGTGCTCGACGATAGGTGATTATAGTCATCGTTAGTAACGAAAGGGTTAATCTTTCGTTACATGTGTCACGGAGTATGAGTGCAAGCTTGATCTGTCCCCAGAAACTAGAAAAACAGTATCTGTACTCTGTTCAATTTAAGAGTAACCTCGCTCTCGGACCGATTCTCGTCCGTTCTGCGCATAGACAGAGAGCGTAGCAGAGGGCAAGACGGAGAAGAACGTAGGTGGTTAAGTGGGGGTTTGGACGTTCTAGCCATGCCTTAGGCACGTCCCGTGTGCGAAACGAGGTTATTCTTAAATTGAACAGAGTATAGTGTCGTGACTTTCTGTTGCTTCGACATATGTATGCTTAAGGACACATTAATTTTGTGCATTACGAGGCCGTAGGCGTGTTAGGCTGTGGTTATAGTGGATACGTATTCGGACGAACTGGCATTCTGACGAACTCAATATGTCGAAACAATTAAATTGTATACAAATTCTTATGATTGCATGCATTACAGCCTTCAGATGTTTCATTCGTCAGAACGTCAATTTGTCACCACAGCCTTACGCTGCAATGCTGCAATTCCTTGGTGGATTTAAAACAGTAGCGGTGAAACAGGTTTCTCTTTACAAAACAGAAAGGGTGATTTCACGCGAAATCGATCACTTTTTCACGTCGACATCAGGGATTTTGTTCCAAATGAAATATAACGTAGTACACGTGGAATTAGGAGGGGTTTAAGTCATCATTCGGCTAGTTTCGAATTTGTTTAAAAAATACGGAACTTTGAAATTTTTGTACATTTTTATGAAACCGGACTGTGCTTATCAATTTTTATCTCGGAAACTATCAGTCGAATTGAGATCATTTTTATTTTTTTTAAATCTGCAAGGATGGTCCTATTGTGATAATTTCTGTTATTTGAAAAATTGATTTTATAATACTGACAATTATAAACAAATTCTTATTTCTTACATTTCACTACGACGGGCTAAAGGTATTCAAATTAAAAAAAAATATGGTCACATTCCTTGAAATTCTACCTACAAAATGAGCCCTTTTGCAGGATGGAAACTTTAAAATTAGCGTCACAGGGATCTGGAAAAGGACTGGTGTACCCCCGTTTCAGGTAAGCCAAGTTGTCTGTACCGCTCATACCCAATAGTATCTTCAATATGGTCTAAAAGCAACATCGACAAGTCTCGTATACGACTAAACGACCCTATTTATACCTCCAGAAGTATTTCAGTATCCACTCTTAGTCAATAACACCTTTTTAACATTAGAACTACCAGCCAAGTCGTTAGCGACTTTCCAAAAGTGAATTTTTATGTAACTGAACCGTGATTGGAAAATTCGATTCAGATCCATTCAAATAGAAGCATACATGTAGAAAATAAACTCGGAAAGTTACAAACGATAATACTGACCAGTCACGTTTTTTCGAAAGATGCTAACGGGTCATTTTGACCCGACCGGTGGTTCTAGTGTTAATTGCAACCTGATTTACAGATATCAGTTTCCTTGCTTGTTGATTATTTATGAAAAAGTTGTCATTGCTCGATAGAAACCACGTGGAAGTGGTAGTTTTCTTCCATCGGGAAAGAATAAGGTCAATAGCATGGGCAGGATCTTTGTGTATGGTGAATTTGGAGACTGCAGGGAAGAATATAATGAAAACTATTTCATTACACTGGAAACAGAGCCGTCATTATCGCACGAGCAAGTTTTACACAATATAATCAATCGATAGTTTCCGAGATAAAAATTGATAAGCACAGTCCGTTTTCATAAAAATGTGCAAAAATTGTCAAATTCAAAGGTTCGTATTTTTTAAACAAATTCCAAACCAGCTAAATGATGACTTAAACCCCTCCTAATTCCACGTGTATTACATTATATTTCATTCGGAACGAGTAATCGTTTTTAATTTAGAAAGATCTGAAAGGATACGAAGAGGTGTTAAGGCCTAATGGCTTGGACTTTCCGTTGCATGGACAGCCTTCCACTCTTCCAGGGTGACGTATCTATCGTAAAGGTATTATATTCCGTCTTTTGTATTTGGCAGTAACTAAAATAAGTATCTCTATGATTAATGCGAGAAGTGCTTCTGATGTTACCGCTTACTGGATCCTATCAAAAAATATAAAAAATAGTGGCTTTTAATTTTTTAACTGCGACGCCCCCTTCCAAAAAATTTGAAAAAATTATTAGTTAATAAACATAGAAGGCAGCTTCTATTGTAAAAATATAAACTTTGTCGCTTGATAACTTCAATAAAAAATTAACATTTTAAATGTTTCTTAATTTTTTAAGAATAGGTTTTTCAAAGTATCTGAAAAAATTCTCAGATTTTTTTTATAATTTTTTAATGGGTAGAATAAATGAAAAATCAAGCATGAACTGAAAATTAAGTTTAGGTCGATAACTACCTTAATAATTGGGGTAGCGGGCTAAAACTTTGTCGAAATGGGTTTTCTAGGAAGCTCTTTCAATTGGCGTATCACACGTTTCATTTGATTTTGGGGGCACTTTTACCATGCTGATTCAGCTAGACGTTTCAATTTAATACATATTAATGCAGTTTCAATGTAGGTTTAATTTATGTTTCTTTAGTTTTCCTTGCTTAATTTAGTGTATGCCAATACTGTAGAGTACATTGTATTTGTACATATATTGCAGTATACAATGAAATAGAGATTTAAAAAATTTTTCGATATGCACCTGTATCATGATGAAGTAAACGGTAGTGCCGTAGAAGTAAGTAATGTCGTTCACGGCGCCCAATGTTACAGTCTCCTTTACGACTTGTACATTATCGTTCATAAGTATTATGACACCCATAACGTCTGTACAGAAAATATTATTGTAAGAGTAAAGAATTACAGGGGCTTAGAATAACTGATTTTTAAAATGACGTTGGTTCGCTGGTCGATGGTTGGGTACGATAATGTGTGGGCCGCTGCCCTTTTTCCCGTTTTTATACGCTTCTTCCGCCGTTGGGCCCTGCAAGCCGTGGGGTGGGGGTACAGCCTGCGCTGCTCCTTGTCTAGGGCCCCCTGCGGCTCGGGTCCCGCGGTCGTTGCTTAGGCGCGTCGCACAACGCCTTACATTGTATAATTTAAATTACATTTCTCTGCCAAAGTTTGTATCATATTGTCATGTTAATACTACAATTAAAGATCTTGAACTCATTAGCAGAACAACCAATTTTGTTACCGAGTTTTATCATTACTAATCTATCTATTTTTAATATTTCCACATACTGTCAGAGTTGTCCACTTTTAACATACCACAGTTGCAAAGAAAATACGACTTGTGGTTACACTTATCCAGAAACTGTGAATTTACAAAAATTAGGAAAGGAAGTGCAATGAAAAGAAAGCAAAATTTAATTATTGCCTTATCTTTTGGACTTTATAAATATAGTTACGAATGAAGTATGACTTATTTAGTGGTAGTGTTGAAAAATAAATGTTCTTCTTGTACTAAGAGATTCCAAACTGAATCATTTTCTTTCGGTTTTGAATAATTTTGTAATAACTGTTTAGATTTAGTTCACATTCGACGAGTGTCTTAACCTCTTCAGGGACGATTTTCTTTAAAATTAGAAAATATCGATCTAATTTTTTATGTAGTCACATTTATATTCATGTTAAATCGATAGCAATTAAACTAATTTCCTTAGGAGATTTTTGGAGATTTCGGGAGATTGTGCTTTCATATTTTTTCTATCGCAAATATTGGAATTTTCGGATAATTTAAAGGTACACATATGTGTCGGTGTCCCTGAAGAGGTTAACGCTAGAGCGGTCTTCGGGTCTTTTTTGACCCACCGCCTTTTTATATTTTTAGTAATTTTTGCTGTTATCAAGTTTACGTTCCTTAACATTATTTTAAACGTTTATTGTCTAGGTTCGTATGTCGCGTTGGAAACAAAAATTATTACACATAAGGTCTTAGGTCCTTTTTGACCCAAAAGTCTCAAGTGTACAGTCAAAACGAAGAACGCAGTAGGGTTAATACTTATGAACGGGAGTGTACGTGGTAAGTTGCCGGGCATGTGTCATTCGCTTTGAAGACCTCTACATATACCTATTCCTCGTGTCTTGATCTGACCGATATTCGTTGGTGTAGCGCGGTTTGCCACCTCCCAGGGGCATTTTAGCCGATTTTTAAATGTTAATAACTATAAATTGGAGCCTTAAA